TTTCTCTCTCTCTCTCTCTCTCTCTCTCTCTCTCTCTCTCTCACTCTCGCTCTCTTCATTAGATACACGCAAAAGACATTGATTTCCTGATGATGCTTATGATGAGGATGATGATAATGATGATGGTTCCATTTTAATTTTCTTATATTTTCATTTTTTTTTTTTTTTGGTTCAAAATTTTCTTCATATTGAAAATATGTATCTATCCATCTCTCTCACTCTCCCACTCTCTCCCTGCATTCTAATAGAATGCAATAATGACATACCAAAGAGTGGTCCCAAGTGATGATGATAGTGGAACATCCATGATGACGTAATCAACAAAAATTTATTAATTTTTCTTTTTTTTAGTAAATAAGTGAAAAAAAACGAAAAATTCTAAATGAAAAAAAATACTTTCTTAAAATAAAATACTTTTAGAAATCTTTTTTTTCTTTAGTTTTCTTCGGTCTTGCATCATCATAATAAATCTGTAATGCAAAAAATATCTAGAAACAGTCGGAAAAAAATAAGGCAGACAAAATCAATTTGAAATAAAACAACAACAACAACAGAATTTAACATTTTCTTCAGAGAAAGAAAGAGAAAAGAATTTTGGTTTTTATTATTCTTACAGAATCTCGGTTGATTGGCCCCATATTTATATTCGATTGAATGCACGCAATTCTGATTTCGAATAAAGATTGTATATATGGAATATAAGCAATGATAGAGAAAAAACAATGATTGGAAGTAAAAAAAAGTAAAAAAACAAAAACAATATTGTTTTAAATCACAAATCAGAATGATTGAGATTCATGTTTTCAGGAAAGTTTTTTTTTAAATCGTATTTCATGATCATCATCATCATGATGATGATGATGATCATTTCATTCGTTGCTTATTATTATTATTATTATTGTCAAACCAAAAGAAGAATCATTTGTCGTTGTTTGAGTTTTACGTTTTTATTTTATCTATTTACGTTACTGTTTGGTTTTTTTCAGTTTTGTTTAGTGTATGTGATGGCATCTAAATAGCATCATTATCATCATCATCATTTTTTTTCAACATTCATTCAGTAGTTCCTGACATGGAATAAATTCCGTTTCGTTTTCCTATCTTTTTTTTCCATGTGGGTTTCAATTTGGAATCTTATTTCATTTTTGATTTTTTTTTCTTTCGATTTTTTCCTCGACACACACATACACACTTCGTACAAATCATCACTATATTCACATCACCACCACCATCATTATCGCCATACTTTGGTAATAATAGTTATTCTTTTTTTTTTAAATTTTCACAATTTTCTTTGGTGTGAAGAATATTCCAAAAGTTATTTTTCTTTTTCTTCACTTCAACACCAAAATTCCATCATTGATTTTTTTCTTCTTCGTTGTCTTCTTCGTTCCATACATTTTTTGTCATTTCACATATCAATCGGATAATGATTATGATGATGATGATGATGATATTGGTGAATTTGGTGAAGGGCAAATAATAATTATTGTTATTATTAGGGAAAAAGCCTAAAACTGAATATATTGATCCCTAGAAGATCGCATTTTTTTTCTTTTGCTTGCTTCCTCTCATTCTTTTCTTTTTTTTCCCGGTAATCAAGTTTTCCGATTCACACAATGATGATGATGATGATGATGAATCGATTTTTTTCCCATTTTGTTACCCGAACAAAAAAAAATATTCATTTATCATCTATGTTGTTAATGACGATATGGTGGTGATAATTTTTTTATTATTTTTTTTTTCTAAAAAAAGGGATTAATATTAGTTACATAGTTTTGTTTGGTTCTGGTTGTTTGGCTAGAGCTTGATGCAACAAGTTTACCTCCCTTGTTTGATTCATTTATAATCAAGGATTAAACTTGTCGATAATTTTTTTTATTTTACTTGGGTCCAATCAATAATGATTAGTTTTTTATTTCGATTTTTTTCTAGTGATCAATAATAATATTGTGAGTAATATTAATTTCGATGTTTCTTTTTCTTTTTCTTCCATTTGAATCATAGTGAAAATGCAGCCTAAAAATTGTTTATAATCAATAATAAGCAAGAAAACAAAACTACAACGATAATAATTTAATAAAAATATATAAAAATAAAAAATATATTAAAAAATTATGGGCGATCATAAAATAATTGATTCAGATCATAATCATTGGCCTCATCATCCATTACCATCTTTAACATTACGATTATCATCAATATCGAAATGGTCATTATTTTGGCCATCAAATAATAATGATCATCATAATAATAATAAACGGTGCCAATTGATTAAATCAACAACAACAACAACAACAAATACAACCTTATTAAATCAAAATTGTGATCAAAATCTTATTCACATTCGACATCGACATAGACGGAAAAATTTATTTTTATCATCAAATTTTATTATAAATAATAATAGTAATAATTGTTCATTTATTCATTGTTTTACTTCATTATCATTATTGAAATTTTTTCAATCATCGTGCCTTGCATCGATAATGTTATTATTTATTTGTTTATCGTTGATCATAACAACAACATTATCATTGGATCATCATGGTACATCATCTTCGTCTTCTTCGACGGCTACGGCATCTTCATCATCATCATCATCATCATCATCATCACAATCGATGACAAGCTTAACAAATCATTCATCAATCAGTAGTCAAGGTAAATACGATTGGTTAATTATTGAATGAATTAATTAATGAAAAATTTAATTGCATTTTTTAATCCTATAATAATAATTTTCCTAGATCTCTATACTAGCCAATCACAGATAATATCAATCTATACTACCGGTAATCATTCAATTAATATAACACATTTAGCTATGGATCATGCTGCCAATCTATATGCCGGTGGTACAAATTGGTTATTTCAATTAAATTCATCATTAACTGTTATGGAATCAGTTCGTACTGGACCAATTCCTGATTCACCATTGTGTTCACCAACTGATTGTTCAGGTGTTGATGAATCAAGCATACAATTACGAAATAATATCAACAAAGTTCTAGTCGTTGATGAGCATAGTAATTCATTATTAGTATGTGGTACAGTACATCAAGGAGCTTGCCGTAAACATCGTCTTGGTGCTATAATACAATCGGATGAGCTTATACCATTACCTGTAGCGGCTAATGATGAAAATTCTTCTACACTTGCCTTTGTTGGACCATCTCGTTATAATGGAAATATTATTCAACCGGTTCTTTATGTTGCCGTAACTGATTCACGTTTAGGACCATATCGTGATATGGTACCGGCTATTTCATCACGTTCATTAGAATCCGGTCAAAGATATTTATCGATTATTGAAAAATCATTCACCGATACGGCCAAAGTTGATATTGAAATTCATATGAAAGATTATTTTCTTGTCAACTATATTTATGGATTTTCTACACCAGATTTTGTTTATTTTGCTACCGTACAGAAACGATCACATCTTCGTGCATTAGAAGAATGGGGTTTTCATTCACGTTTAGCACGTGTATGTCAATCTGATCCAACATATAATACTTATGCTGAAGTTACTGTTGAATGTATTGGTGCAGATGGTCAACAATATTCATTGTTACAGGATGCTGCACTTATTGAAGCTGGTGATGAATTAGCACATTCATTACGAGTAAAACCAAGATCTAAATTGTTTGTTGGTGCATTTTCAGCCGCTATTGAACATACTAGTACACCGGATACTAGATCAGCAATCTGTATATATACATTACAAGAAATTGAACAAAAATTTGCCCAAAATATTCATATGTGTTATAATGGTTCGATTACTACACGTAATATGGATTATATTGCCGGTAATATACCTAATTGTCCTGCTAAGGTAAGTGTTAAATTTTTCCATCGTTTTTCTATCCAGAAAGTGAACAACAAAACTTTTTTTTTGGTTGAAACCATCAAACAATTATAAAAAAAAAATCTTTAAAATTACCTAAAAAAAGGTTTCATTGTTTGCATATTCCATATTCTTTTCACAACTCCAAAAAGCTCCAAACACTCCATACATGACACATGTGATTTTTTTATTATTTGCACGCGCATCACTCGATCATCATCATTATGAAGTGAGAAAAAAAAGCGTAAGCAAGTGAGAGTCTATTATTACATCATAAATAATAATAATAAGGAGAAAAAAACTAAACAAAACAAAAAAAAAAAAAAAAAAAAGAAAAACTTACTGTCATTGAATTGATATTGTCTGCCTTTTTTTTCAATTCATCATCATATTCTTTGTGGGTATGG